CATTTTTTCTCATTCCCATTTTTCCTCTCCTGCTGTTGATTCTGTCAATAGATTGTGAGGCTCCAGTAAGTACCTTTCCATTTGGAGACCTTGCGTAAAATGATAGCACAGGGAGAGATGAAAGGTGCCATGGCTGAGCAAACGGGCAGCCCGGCGATTGTGTTTCTAGGAGCATTGCTCTCAAATTCCTGACCCCACCACGCGGCCAGTGAGGAGGAGAGCAGTCGCGGGCATGGGCAGGAGGCAGGGCGATGGGGCAGCCCCGTTCCTTGGGGCTGTCCTGTTCTCACATTAGGAGTCTGGACACCCACATTGCCCCACGGTCATCCCCTTGGGCCATGCTTTGCTCAGGCCCTGCAAATGGGCCTCGATTCGGCCCCGAGCACCAGTGCCCAGAGCCCTTGGCATCGGGCAGGCGGCAGAGAGGAGGGTAGGCACAGCAAGGCCACGCTCGCGTGGAACCAGAGACCTCGAGCAGCCGCTATCGCCCCAGCGGTGAACGGAGCCGGGCGGCCGGGGAATGTGCATGTCGATGCATCCTGAATTATTAACGCTCCTCCAGCTCTCCTTCCTTGGCTGTGGTGTTGCCTGCTCCCTGGACGTGGGTCTGTGGCACGCTGGTCTCTCTCCCTCTCCTGTGGGAACCAAGGCCGTGGCTCACGTTGCACTGTATTACTTACCACTTCGGGGGCTCACGTTACTTCCCTTCCCCAGCAGCGCTCTCCAAGGGGATGCTGGTGGTGTGGCTCAGCCGTGCACATCCCTCATGTTGCCTGGCTGGGGATGAATGACAACGAATCCCATTTCTGACGGTCTGCTGGTTTGAATAAACCTCCGAGTTATACCATTGTCTGCTGAAATCATTTTAATACATGCAGCAATTTTCCCCATGCTGTTCTTGCAGAACCTCCCAACCGCCTTCTTTGATCTTTATCCGCAAAGAAGATTGGGGGGGAAAAAACGGCAAATTCTCGTCGAGGAAATGGTACTAAGCGTGGGGAGGGTGCACTGCTGCGAGGAATGAAGAGCAGCCACGTTCGCACAGAGCTGAGGTGGCACCGTCGGCTGCACGAGCCCCGCGATTTGACTTGTAAATGGGACGAGGCTTCGGAAGATTGCCGCCGCTGGAAGGAGTTTCGCCGGTCTGCTTGATTAGCGGGTGCTGCTGGTAGACCTGAGCCAGAGCCATTGGGGCTGGCGGGGCCCGCGAGATCTCCGCCAGCTACTGCTAATGCTGACTGACAGCCTCTTGCCTTGTCCCGCTGGACCAGCTGCGGAGAGAAGCTGCCAATTATCCCAGACTGATGTGCTGGTTTGTGCCGGAGCCTACCCCGTTTCTTCCCTTCCGTATGCCTGGGGTGGGTTATAATCCTGGCCAGATGTGTAATCAAAGGCAGCGCCCAGCCTCCCTGGTTGAGAGGCAAGGCCCTGCCTGTGCTCCCCACTTCTGGCGGCCGAGGAACCGTAGCTGGAGGGGCATGCCCCTCTCCACGCTGCTCCGGGGCCTGTCTGAGCCCACCTCCGTGTCCCGCACAGCGTGCGAACAAGAGGGAGCCAGCTCATGGCCGTCCTGCAGCCATGTCGGGGGACTGGCGCGGTCCATCAGAGCCAGCGGTGCAAGCAGCCGCAACCCCTCCGCAGCCGGGGGTGGGAGCACTGGCTCCCCGAGCCCAGCGAAGCCTCGCGGCCGATGCTGGCAGCTGCCCGTTCCTGGCACTGGCGAGCTCGGCGCTGGTTGGGCCCAGACGCTTGCAGTCCCGGGCGGGTGTAGTCTACGTGGCCAAGGCAGGCAGAGAAGGGAGGCCCTTGTTTTCCTGGCTCCTCTGCAGCGCTCTGCTTTGGGCAGCGCCAGGCCATGCTGTAGGGCAGTGGTTTGCAACCTTTTTTTCATTTGCAGACGCCCTAAAAATGGCAAATGGAGGTGCAGACCCCTCTGGATTGTGAGTGTAAATAGTCGCATCTGATTGATCGCAGTCTTCTTTCGCAAACCTCTTAGACGTAGTCTGTGGACCCCCTGGTGTCTGCGGACCACGGGTTGAAAAGCACTGCTGTAGGGCGTTCCCCTCGCAGGGCAGATGTGGTGCCCACTGTGCCACTCTCAGACGGCGGTCGCTGTGCTCGGACAGGGCTGTGGTGGCCGTCCAGGCCCGTTTTGGTGCTGGCATTGTGGTGAGAGGGGCCACGAAACTCACCCCTTCGAGCAACATGGTTACTGCCCAGCAGCGCCGGCGTGAAGAAGGCAGGTGGCTCTGTCCATCACGTGCCGGCACGAGTCGGACCCTGTCTCCCTCCCCATGAACCTGACGGGAGCGGCTGGCGACGGCAAGCGTCGGGATGTCAGCAGCCAGACCGGAGCGGGGCCGTCCGGCCGCGGGCTCCAGAGGCGCAAGAAGCCGTCCCCTCGAGAAGGGAAGAAACCGGCGTGTGAGCAGGGAGCCGTCCCCAAGAAGGCTCTGGCCCAGCAGACGTGGGGCTGTGCTGACAGCTGCCTTGACACCTCCACGGGGGATTTCGCGGCCCCGGGGGCTCCTGCGACTGCTGCCCTAGAAGAAGTTTGCCCAGAAGCCTTTTCCCTTGTTGCCATTTGCATTTTCTTTGTCATTCATCCCTTTGCTAGGCACATGGGCGCCCATGCCCGCTATCCCATGCCTCCACCCTTTCTCCCACCTGCTGTAACCAGCAGCGAGAGGCTGGAGGTGCTCTCGATAACGCTTCACGGGAGGAACGGAGGCGCTCATCACCAGATCCGCCAGCGTGCTGTCTGCAAGCCCAGGCCTGACGGACTTCCTCACTGCCGCAAAGAGAGCAGCCGAGGATGCCGGGCCAGGGGCCGGCGCTGCAGGGGTGCTGGGCCGGGGGTGGGGGGGACCGGCAATAGCCCTGCTCTCACAGGACTGGGGGGTGAATGCTGCTTCTGCATGCCAGCTTGTGTCTGCCCCTCCTGCATGGCGGCCAGTCCCCCCTCTTCTTGCTCTCCCGTCTCGTGTCCGTGCACCTCCCTTGCTCTCCTCCTTCCCTCCCTCCTGTCTGTGGCTCCCGGCGGCCTGTCCTGCCTGCCGCATGCTGTCGCGCCGCGCCGCGCCGCACCGCCGCGAAGTTTTGCTCTCCGCGCGTCCTTCCTCCGGATAGCGCGGGGAGAAGGGCGGGGGGCACGGGGGCCGAGGCCGGTCCCTGGACGGCTTCTGCCTGGAACGATTCGACGCCATGTTCATGGGACAGGGCCACCTGCCTCTTGATGAACGCCATCACGTTAACACCATTGCCATGTCCATTGAGTTACCTCGGTTATTCTCATGATGTGTAGACGCGAGTGCACTTTCAGTTGTCTTGTTCGGGGAGCGCTCCCCCGTCAGCCAGGTAACGCCTCGCTAGCAATCACGTGCCAAGCTGTTGATTTGAGATTTAATAATTGATTAAAAGAAGCAACCAGCAAGACGTTGGATTTAGACATTAATACAAACCCAAAAAAGGCAAGTTCTCCTTCCCCCTGGCAGGGAAGGAGCTAATGAGGCCTGTTTTGTCACCAAGACGACGTGTAATACACACACGATGTTGACAGGATTGTCTAATTTATCACCCAGTCCTAGCTCTGTCGTACATGGTAGCATGGGGGTTTCTGCGTGCAGCCTGCTCCTGCAAGCCTGGCGGTTTGGGAAAGAAGCATCAAAGAGCGATCCGACTCGGGGGGGAGGCAGCTTGGCAGGTGTCGCTGCCGTGGCTGATGCACGGGCGCTGGGGAGGCGCCGTGGTGTGGGGGCAGCCGGGCCGCCGGCCCCGCAACGAGCGCTGCCCCCTGCACGAGGGACGCGCGACCGCCCGACACCGGCGGGG